TTTGTTTTTATTTTTTGGTGTTGGTGTTTTGTGTAGGGTTTTTGTTTTGGGTTCTTTTTGGTGTATCTTGTGTTGGTGTCTTTGTGTGTGTCTTGGTTTGGGTTCTCTTGGTGGTCTCTATGTTGCCTTTGTCTTGGTGCCTTTTTGTTGGTGTCTCTTGGTGGGTATTGTGTGGTGTTTTGTGTTGGGTCTCTTGTGTTGTCTCTTGTGTGGTGTCTCTAGTGTTGGTGTTATTTGTTGGTTCTTGTTTTGGGTGTGCTTGTTTTGTATCTTGTGTTGGTGTCAAGTTGGTGTCTCTTGTGTGGTTTGTCTTAGTGTGTGTCTCTGTGTTGGTTGTCTCTGTGTTGGGGTCTCTTGTGTGTGTCTCTAGTGTTGATGTCTCTTGTGTTGGTGTCTCTTTTGTTGGTGTCTCTTGTGTTGGTGTCTTTTTTTTAGTGTCTCTTGTGTTTGTGTCTCTTGTGTTGGTGTCTGTTTTGTTGGTGTCTCTTGTGTTGGTGTCTGTTTTGGTGGTGTCTCTTGTTTTGGTGTCTCTTGTATATCTGTCCCATCTTTCTGCCTCCTAGCTATCTGTCTTTTATATATATGTCCCATCTTTCTGCTTCCTAGCTTCCTGTCTTTTAAATATATGTCCCATCTTTCTGCTTCCTAGCTTCCTGTCTTCATAGAAAGACTCCATCTTCCTTCAAGTGGCCTCTTCAACTACATTATTTAATTTACCCTTTTAACTTTGCTTCACCTTTTTGACAAGTTAGATAGGTTTAACACCAAGCCGTTTAAAAGCAGACCGAAGGATCCGTGTAAAGTCATATATAAAGCAAGCTGTAAAGTGCAGAGTAATGTGAATAGCACAGTGTTGACCCAGTTCAGATAGCCTGGATTACACCAGGACTCTGTCAGGGAAGGGAGAGGGAAGATATATTTAGAGAGCTAGGAAATGTTTTAAAGGAGCATTTTTGGATACTGAGCTAGAAAAACACAACCAACATCTCCTAGTAATATGCTGTTTACTAAACAGGACTAAAATTAGTAGATGTTGTAGGACCTAACTGTAACTTAGTAGTACAGTGAGGGAAAAAAGTATTTGATCCCCTGCTGATTTTGTACGTTTGCCCACTGACAAAGAAATTATCAGTCTATCATTTTAATGGTAGGTTTATTTGAACAGTGAGAGACAGAATAACAACAAAAAAATCCAGAAAAACACATGTCAAAAATGTTATGAATTGATATGCATTTTGAGGGAAATAAGTATTTGACCCCCTCTCAATCAGAAAGATTTCTGGCTCCCAGGTGTCTTTTATACAGGTAACGAGCTGAGATTAGGAGCACACTCTTAAAGGGAGTGCTCATAATCTCAGTTTGTTACCTGTATTAAAGACACCTGTCCACAGAAGCAATCAATCAATCAGATTCCAAACTCTACACCATGGCCAAGACCAAAGAGCTCTCCAAGGAAGTCAGGGACAAGATTGTAGACCTACACAAGGCTGGAATGGGCTACAAGACCATCGCCAAGCAGCTTGGTGAGAAGGTGACAACAGCTGGTGCAATTATTCGCAAATGGAAGAAACACAAAAGACCTGTCAATCTCCCTCGGCCTGGGGTTCCAATTCAAGATCTCACCTCGTGGAGTTGCAATGATCATGAGAACGGTGAGGAATCAGCCCAGAACTACACGGGAGGATCTTGTCAATGATCTCAAGGCAGCTGGGACCATAGTCACCAAGAAAACTATTGGTAACACACTACGCTGTGAAGGACTGAAATCCTGCAGTGCCCGCAAGGTCCCCCTGCTCAAGAAAGCACATATACATGCCCGTCTGAAGTTTGCCAATGAACATCTGAATGATTCAGAGTAGAACTGGGTGAAAGTGTTGTGGTCAGATGAGATCAAAATGGAGCTCTTTGGCATCAACTCAACTCGCCGTGTTTGGAGGAGGAGGAATGCTGCCTATGACCCCAAGAACACCATCCCCACCGTCAAACATGGAGGTGGAAACATTATGCTTTGGGGGTGTTTTTATGCTAAGGGTACAGGACAACTTCACCGCATCAAAGGGACGATGGACGGGGCCATGTACCGTCAAATCTTGGGTGAGAACCTCCTTCCCTCAGCCAGGGCAATGAAAATGGGTCGTGGATGGGTATTCCAGCATGACAATGACCCAAAACACACGGCCAAGGCAACAGAGGAGTGGCTCAAGAAGAAGCACATTAAGGTCCTGGAGTGGCCTAGCCAGTCTCCAGACCTTAATCCCATAGAAAATCTGTGGAGGGAGCTGAAGGTTCGAGTTGCCAAACGTCAGCCTCGAAACCTTAATGACTTGGAGAAGATCTGCAAAGAGCAGTGGAACAAAATCCCTCCTGAGATGTGTGCAAACCTGGTGGCCAACTACAAGAAACGTCTGACCTCTGTGATTGCCAACAAGGGTTTTGCCACCAAGTACTAAGTCATGTTTTGCAGAGGGGTCAAATACTTATTTCCCTCATTAAAATGCAAATCAATTGATAACATTTTTGACATGCGTTTTTTTCTGGATTTTTTTGTTGTTATTCTGTCTCTCATTGTTCAAATAAACCTACCATTAAAATTATAGACTGATCATTTCTTTGTCAGTGGGCAAACGTACAAAATCAGCAGGGGATCAAATACTTTTTTCCCTCACTGTAGATGTTGGAGGACCTAACTGTAACTTAGTAGTAGATGTTGGAGGACCTAACTGTAACTTAGTAGTAGATGTTGGAGGACCTAACTGTAACTTAGTAGTAGATGTTGGAGGACCTAACTGTAACTTAGTAGTAGATGTTGGAGGACCTAACTGTAACTTAGTAGTAGATGTTGGAGGACCTAACTGTAACTTAGTAGTAGATGTTGGAGGACCTAACTGTAACTTAGTAGTAGCGGATCTTGTTCTGATAGAGAGGTACTGCTAGGGAAAGACTTGAAAGAAAGGAAGAAACAAAGAAAGAAAAAGAAAGAAAGAAAGATCAAATAGATAAAGAAAGATAAAATAGATTATTAGTAGCAGGAGTTGAGGAGGGGAGGAGGAGTGCTCAGAGAGAGGGAGGGGGAGGGGAGAAGAGAGGAGGAGAGAATAGAGGGAGGGAGGCTGTGAGGAAGTCTCTAGGGGCGGAGCACGTATTTAAACGAGGAAATAGATTTAGACAGAGAAAGGAAGAGAGGATGATACAGTGCTGTAAAAGTTGGCAGCAGAGAGGAGAGAGAGGAACATGGGTATCTCTCGTCAAACCATAAAGCCTTCGCCTCGAAGAGCCAGCAGCGTCAGCCGCGCTGGGACGCCACACACGCCCCGACACGCCCGCCTCAACGCTGGACAGACGCGCACCGCCACACCCATACGGACCGTTCAGATCCGTCCAATGCCGACGCGGACCACGCCGACACACACACACAGGCCGCAAACCCACGGCGCCCAGACGTTCGCAGCACACACCCACCTGATGCCGCCACACACCGCCGGGCGCAGGTTTTCACGGGAAGACAGGAGACCGAGTTTGCAGGCTCACGCCACTGACCATCACACTGGCTGCTCCTTCTACTGCTATCTCTGCTACTGCTGCTACTGCTGCTGCCTCACGCTGCTTTCTTTCTCTCTCCTCCTCCTCCTCTCCCCTCCTCCCCGCACCACCACTCACACTGTCTCTCACTCCTCCTCCTCTTCTCTACCTGTTCCTCGAACTCCACCTTCCTCCGTCCCTTCCTCCCCATCCTACCCTCCTCCATCACCTCCATCACCACCGGTTTCTCCCTTCTGTCCTGTGCCTCCTTGTATCCTCCCCGCTCATCATTCCTTCCCTATCCTCCACTCTTGTCCATCTCCCTGTCCGCTCAACCTATCATGTCCTCTCTCTTCAAACTCTCCTGTATTCCCCTCCACCTCTTCCCACCGCTCCCCTCCCCCCTCCTTTACTGCTACCCCTTCCACTCCTCCTCCTCCTCCTCTCTCCTCACCTCTCCTCCACCACCCTAACCTGTGCCGCCCACGGCCCTCGTCCTCCCATCGCTCCCTCCCTTCTCTGCTGCTCTGCCCTCTTAGTTTCGGGGATTCAGTAGGGGATCTGTCCTCTGCTTCCACCCTGGATCCCCTCCCCTCCGCTGGGCCGCTGGCCCGGCCACGCACCCTGCTGCGCCAGCAGAGTCTCCAGCAGCCTCTCATCCACCAACCCGTCCCGAGCCTCCTCCTCACCCACCTCCCACCCACCTCCTCTCAGAGCCTGGGTCAGATACACCAAGTGCCCCCGCCGGGGCCCGGCCAGCCAGGGGGAAGCGGGGGCAGTGGGGGCAGTGGGGGAGGAGGTGGAGGAACGCAAAGAGGCCCCAGGGGGGTGCGAGGGAGCCTGGCGGGGACAGGCGCCTCACGGTACAGGGGAGGAGGAGGAGGAAGAGGAGGAGGAGGTCGTGGTAACCCTGGGTCCTGGGATCACATGATGGGCCAATTGAAAAACAGAGGCCTGGATGCCAAGTCCTTCCTGTGAGTCACTCTGTTTCTTCTTTTCCCTCTGTCTGGGTTGGTAACCGTCTCTGTCTGGGTTGGTAACTGTCTCTGTCTGGGTTGGTAACTGTCTCTGTCTGGCTTGGTTGGTAACTGTCTCTGTCTGGGTTGGTAACCGTCTCTGTCTGGGTTGGTAACTGTCTCTGTCTGGGTTGGTAACCGTCTCTGTCTGGGTTGGTAACCGTCTCTGTCTGGGTTGGTAACCGTCTCTGTCTGGGTTGGTAACCTTCTCTGTCTGGGTTGGTAACTGTCTCTGTCTGGGTTGGTAACTGTCTCTGTCTGGGTTGGTTGGTAACTGTCTCTGTCTGGGTTGGTTGTTAACTGTCTCTGGGTTGGTTGGTTGTTAACTGTTTCTGGGTTGGTTGGTTGTTAACTGTCTCTGGGTTGGTTGGTTGTTAACTGTCTCTGGGTTGGTTGGTTGTTAACTGTTTCTCGGTTGGTTGGTTGTTAACTGTCTCTGGGTTGGTTGGTTGTTAACTGTCTCTGGGTTGGTTGGTTGTTAACTGTCTCTGGGTTGGTTGTTAACTGTCTCTGGGTTGGTTTTTAACTGTCTCTGGGTTGGTTGTTAACTGTCTCTGGGTTGGTTGGTTGTTAATTGTCTCTGGGTTGGTTGGTTGTTAACTGTCTCTGGGTTGGTTGTTAACTGTCTCTGGGTTGGTTGTTAACTGTCTCTGGGTTGGTTGGTTGTTAATTGTCTCTGGGTTGGTTGGTAACTGTCTCTGGGTTGGTTGGTAACTGTCTCTGGGTTGGTTGGTAACTGTCTCTGGGTTGGTTGGTAACTGTCTCTGGGTTGGTTGTTAACTGTCTCTGGGTTGGTTGGTTGTTAATTGTCTCTGGGTTGGTTGGTAACTGTCTCTGGGTTAATTGGTAACTGTCTCTGGGTTGGTTGGTAACTGTCTCTGGGTTGGTTGGTAACTGTCTCTGGGTTGGTTTTTAACTGTCTCTGGGTTGGTTGTTAACTGTCTCTGGGTTGGTTGGTTGTTAATTGTCTCTGGGTTGGTTGGTAACTGTCTCTGGGTTGGTTGGTAACTGTCTCTGGGTTGGTTGGTAACTGTCTCTGGGTTGGTTGGTAACTGTCTCTGGGTTGGTTGGTTGTTAATTGTCTCTGGGTTGGTTGGTAACTGTCTCTGGGTTGGTTGGTAACTGTCTCTGGGTTGGTTGTTAACTGTCTCTGGGTTGGTTGGTAACTGTCTCTGGGTTGGTTGGTAACTGTCTCTGGGTTGGTTGGTAACTGTTTCTGGGTTGGTTGGTAACTGTCTGGGGTCTTTTCCCTCTGGTGTTCTGTCCCAAATGGAACCCTGTTCCCTGTATAGAGCACTACTTTAGACCAGAGCTCTGTGGCCCTATATAGGGAATAGGGTCCCACTGGGGATGTAGATATTGTCTCTGCTGTTGTCACCTCACGGCTCCTGCTTCCTCCACTGTCTGAGTTGCTGTGCTCTCTATGGGATGTGATCCTCCTCAATTCTTCTCACATCATGTCTTTAAAACACAACTCTCTGACACAAACCATTTGTCTCTATCTGGGTTGTGTAAAGTTGTCCTGTCACATCTCTCAGTGTAAAGCACCGTCTTGCCTATCTGGATATAGCACTGCTCTTCTCCTCCTTTCCGTTTCGATGTAGTGATCTTTGACTGTCTGTTGCCATGTCCTCTTTAGGCACTGACAGTATTTTAGATGATTTAGATATTCTTGTCTTCTCTACGTGGTGTTGAGTTTGTGCTGGTGACACCCAGGGAAGGATGTTACTTGACATCGTGTATCATGACATTGTGTGTGTGTGTGTTTGTGTGTTTGTGTGTGTGTGTGTGTGTATGTGTGTTTGTGTGTGTGTGTGTGTGTGTGTGTGTGTGTGTGTGTGTGTATGTGTGTGTGTGTGTGTGTGTGTATGTGTGTGTGTGTGTGTGTGTGTGTGTGTGTGTGGTGTGTGTGTGTGTGTGTGTGTGTGTGTGTGTGTGTGTGTGTGTGTGTGTGTGTGTGTGTGTGCGCACAATGTGACAGTTTTATACTTATAGAGTCTGAAACACCATCTAAGACAGGGTTCTTCAATTCCGGTCCTGGAGGGCCGAAACACCTCTGTTTTTCATCCTCTCCTTCTAATCAGGGGCTTTTTTTTTCATACTGGCCGCCCATGGGAATCAAACCCACAACCCTGGCGTTGCATGTGCCATGCTCTACCAACTGAGCTACATGGTGCCAAATACTGACTGAGGACTAAACTTAAGGGAGGGACATATAAAGGGGAGGTAATGAGGAAGGTAATGGAGTCCAGGTGTGAATCATAATGATCTGCAGGTGCGCGTATTGATGGATGCCAGGTGTGCATAATGATATATCTCAGGACCGATGGTTAGTATTCCGGTGAAGTCGCATGCCGGAGGGGAAAAACAGGAGTAGACGTGACAGTTATATATAGATGTTAACATCCTGATATAGTTGATAACGTCCTGATATAGATGTTAATGTCCTGATATAGATGATAACGTCCTGATATAGATGTTAATGTCCTGACATAGATGATAACGTCCTGATATAGCTGATAGCGTCCTGATATAGCTGTTAATGTCCTGATATAGATGATAAAGTCCTGATATAGATGTTAACATCCTGATATAGATGTTAATGTCCTGATATAGATGATAACGTCCTGATATAGATGTTAACGTCCTGATATAGATGTTAATGTCCTGATAGAGATGATAACATCCTGATATAGATGTTAATGTCTTGATATAGATGTTAATGTCCTGATATAGATGATAACGTCCTGATATAGATGTTAATGTCCTGACATAGATGTTAATGTCCTGATATAGATGATAACGTCCTGATATAGATGTTAATGTCCTGATATAGATGATAACGTCCTGATATGGATGATAACGTCCTGATATAGATGTTAATGTCCTGATATAGTTGATAACGTCCTGATATAGATGTTAATGTCTTGATATAGATGTTAACGTCCTGATATAGTTGATAACGTCCTGATATAGTTGATAACGTCCTGATATAGATGTTAACATCCTGATATAGATGTTAACATCCTGATATAGATGTTAATGTCCTGATATAAATGATAACGTCCTGATATAGATGTTAATGTCCTGACATAGATGATAACGCCCTGATATAGATGATAACGTCCTGATATAGCTGTTAATGTCCTGATATAGATGTTAATGTCCTGATATAGTTGATAACATCCTGATATAGATGTTAACATCCTGATATAGATGTCAATGTCCTGATATAGATGATAATGTCCTGATATAGATGTTAACGTCCTGATATAGATGTTAATGTCTTGATATAGATGTTAATGTCCTGATATAGATGTTAACGTCCTGATATAGATGATAACGTCCTGATATAGATGTTAACGTCCTGATATAGATGATAACGTCCTGATATAGTGTTAATGTCCTGATATAGATGTTAACGTCCTGATATAGATGTTAACGTCCTGATATAGATTATAAAGTACTGATATAGATGTTAACGTCCTGATATAGATGATAACGTCCTGATATAGTGTTAATGTCCTGATATAGATGATAACGTCCTGATATAGATGTTAACGTCCTGATATAGATGGTAAAGTACTGATATAGATGTTAACGTCCTGATATAGATGATAACGTCCTGATATAGATGTTAATGTCCTGATATAGATGATAACGTCCTGATATAGTGTTAATGTCCTGATATAGATGTTAACGTCCTGATATAGATGTTAATGTCCTGATATAGATGTTAACGTCCTGATATACAGTACCAGTCAAAGGTTTGGACACACCTACTCATTCAAGGGTTTTTCTTTATTTTTACTATTTTCTACATTGTAGAATAATAGTGAAGTAATCAAAACTATGAAATAAAACATATGGAAACATGTAGTAACCAAAAAAGTTTTAAACAATTCTAAATATATTTTAGATTTTAGATTCTTCAAAGTAGCCACACTTTTTTGGTTACTACATGTTTCCATATGTGTTATTTCATAGTTTTGATGTCGTCACTATTATTCTCCAATGTAGAAAATAGTAAAAATAAAGAAAATCACTTAAATGAGTAGGTGTGTCCAAACCTTTGACTGGTAGTGTAGATGCCGGGAAAGATAAGACAGACGCTTACTTCTTAAAAGGTACCCTATTCCATTCATAGTCCCATAGAGGTCTGCTCTAAAGTAGTGTACTACATAGGGAATAAGGTGCTATTTAGGACGTTGCCTCAGTCCTTCCAATACTCATTACGCCAAAGAGCAGTGCCAGCTAGTTGGATGACATAGGTAGCAGCTAGATAGATGACAGGGTTAGTAGTAGTTAGATAGATGACAGGGTTAGTAGTAGTTAGATAGATGACAGGGTTAGTAGTAGTTAGATAGATGACAGGGTTAGTAGTAGTTAGATAGATGACAGGGTTAGTAGTAGTTAGATAGATGACAGGGTTAGTAGTAGTTAGATAGATGACAGGGTTAGTAGTAGTTAGATAGATGACAGGGTTAGTAGCAGCTAGATAGATGACAGGGTTAGTAGTAGTTAGATAGATGACAGGGTTAGTATCAGCTAGATACATGACAGGTTTAGTAGTAGTTAGATAGATGACAGGGTTAGTAGTAGTTAGATAGATGACAGGGTTAGTAGTAGTTAGATAGATGACAGGGTTAGTAGCAGCTAGATAGATGACAGGGTTAGTAGTAGTTAGATAGATGACAGGGTTAGTAGTAGTTAGATTGATGACAGGGTTAGTAGTAGCTGGATAGATGACAGGGTTAGTAGTAGTTAGATAGATGACAGGGTTAGTAGCAGCTAGATAGATGACAGGGTTAGTAGTAGTTAGATAGATGACAGGGTTAGTATCAGCTAGATACATGACAGGTTTAGTAGTAGTTAGATAGATGACAGGGTTATTAGTAGTTAGATATATGACAGGGTTAGTAGTAGTTAGATAGATGACAGGGTTAGTAGCAGCTAGATAGATGACAGGGTTAGTAGCAGCTAGATAGATGACAGGGTTAGTAGTAGTTAGATAGATGACAGGGTTAGTATCAGCTAGATACATGACAGGGTTAGTAGTAGTTAGATTGATGACAGGGTTAGTAGTAGCTGGATAGATGACAGGGTTAGTAGTAGTTAGATAGATGACAGGGTTAGTAGCAGCTAGATAGATGACAGGGTTAGTAGTAGTTAGATAGCTGACAGGGTTAGTATCAGCTAGATAGATGACAGGGTTAGTAGTAGTTAGATAGATGACAGGGTTAGTAGCAGCTAGATAAACTCAGCAAAAAAATAAATGTCCCTTTTTCAGGACCCTGTCTTTCAAAGATAATTCGTAAAAATCCAAATAACTTCACAGATCTTCATTGTAAAGGGTTTAAACACTGTTTCCCATGCTTGTTCAATGAACCATAAACAATTAATGAACATGCACCTGTGGAACGGTCGTTAAGACACTAACAGCTTACAGATGGTAGGCAATTAAGGTCACAGTTATGAAAACGTAGGACACTAAAGAGGCCTTTCTACTGACTCTGAAAAACACCATGCTAGGCATGCTGCAAGGAGGCTTGAGAACTGCAGATGTGGCCAGGGCAATAAATTGCAATGTCCGTACTGTGAGACGGCTAAGACAGCGCTACAGGGAGACAGGACAGACAGCTGATCGTCCTCGCAGTGGCAGACCACGTGTAACAACACCTGCACAGGATCGGTACATCCGAACATCACACCATGCGGGACAGGTACAGGATGGCAACAACAACTGCCCGAGTTACACCAGGAACGCACAATCCCTCCATCAGTGCTCAGACTGTCAATAGGCTGAGAGAGGCTGGACTGAGGGCTTGTAGGCCTGTTGTAAGGCAGGTCCTCACCAGACATCACTGGCAACAACGTCGCCTATGGGCACAAACCCACCGTCGCTGGACCAGACAGGACTGGCAAAAAGTGCTCTTCACTGACGAGACGCGGTTTTGTCTCACCAGGGGTGATGGTCGGATTCGTGTTTATCGTCAAAGGAATGAGCTTTACACTGAGGCCTGTACTCTGGAGCGGGATCGATTTGGAGGTGGAGGGTCCGTCATGGTCTGGGGCGGTGTGTCACAGCATCATCGGACTGAGCTTGTTGTCATTGCAGGCAATCTCAATGCTGTGCGTTACAGGGAAGACATCCTCCTCCCTCATGTGGTACCCTTCCTGCCGGCTCATCCTGACATGACCCTCCAGCATGACAATGCCACCAGCCATACTGCTCATTCTGTGAGTGATTTCCTGCAAGACAGGAATGTCAGTGTTCTGCCAGATCTCAATCCCATTGAGCACGTCTGGGACCTGTTGGATTGGAGGATGAGGGCTAGGGCTATTCCCCCCAGAAATGTCCAGGAACTTGCAGGTGCGTTGGTGGAAGAGTGGGGTAACATCTCACAGCAAGAACTGGCAAATCTGGTGCAGTCCACGAGGAGGAGATGCACTGCAGTACAAAATGCAGCTGGTGGCCACACCAGATACTGACTGTTACTTTTGATTTTGACTCCCCATTTGTTCAGGGACACGGTATTCCATTTCTGTTAGTCACATGTCTGTGGAACTTGTTGCGTTTATTTCTCAGTTGTTGAATCTTGTTATGTTCATACAAATGTTTACACGTTTAGTTTGCTGAAAATAAACGCAGTTGACAGTGAGAGGACATTTCTTTTTTTGCTGCTGTCTAAGGCACTGCATCTCAGTGCTAGAGGCGTCACTACAGACCATGGTTCGATTCCAGGCTGTATCACAACCGGCCGTGATTGGGAGTCCCATACGGCGCACAATTGTCCCAGCATCGTCCGGGTTTGGCCTGGGTAGGCCGTCATTATTAATAAGAATTTGTTCTTAACTGACTTGGCTAGTTAAATAAAGAATACAAATATAAAAATATATATACTTCCTTAAAATAACTTTGCTTGACAAACGAGAAAAAAAGCAGAAATAGTACTGTTTGTCCCTCTTGAGACACCATAGCCAGTAAACACTTCCTCAAAATAGTCTGAATTAAACTAAGAAAATAAATCTGTCATTCGTTTTGACGTTTCTGCCGAGGAGGTCTTAATCGTGCAATTTGACATCGAACTAAGATGTTTGGTGCAGTATTTCTCAAAATATTTTTTGGGGAATGACAACAAACACTTCATTGAAGAATCCCTACTGTTGACCAATCACAGACGAAGGGGCATAGACTTGGGCTACCAAACTTGGGTTTGCCTCAGGAAAAAATTGTGTGTGCACGAATAGCCCCCCCCAAAAAACCTTGCGGAAGACCAAAACAAACAAGAACTTCACAAAATGGCGTCATAATATATGCACGAACTGTTTCGGATGGGAAGCATTAAGAGTCACCGGCAATTCGTAACACATTATGAATGTAAATAAAGCTTAAGAGGAGCTGTCTCTTTCCTGTCCCAAATGGCACCCTATTCCCTATATAGTGCACTACTTTAGACCAGAGCCCATAGGGTGTGGTACACTATTTAGGGAATAGGGTGCCATTTTGGGATGCGGGTGGAATCTGTCAGCCGTAAGCCCTGAGTGGGAGTGGGTAGGAGATGGCTTAGTATCTACATATATAACAACACACACCAAACTCATACACACACACACCACACTAATACCCACAACACAACACTAATACACACACACACACACACACACACACCCACTAATACACACACACACACAC